TGTACATTTTTTCACCACAAAACATATGCACATATTTACACACAAACACAAAGGTGAAATGTGTAATTTGTGCTTATGGTGTAGCATAGTTTGATTAAATAGTGATTCTTGACTTATAAAAATAACATTTAAATAATGATTCTTGACTTGACATATATATCTTACATATGTATAAAATAGATTTTATAACCATAATCCTTATCACAAATGACTGGGGAAATCATGGAAAGTTACTGGTAAAATGTGGGAACTCTGGGCTTGTGGCATTTCACGATTCCGTTTTGCCCTCTTCTACTCATTATTTCACCATCCCTATTAATAAAAGTGCCAAAAAGGCCAAAAATAAAAAGCTACAATTTATATTCTTGCTCATAACCTCTTCGTTCTGTGAGTTCCCTAGTATGAATACCCAGGTATGTTTTGTCAGATATAAGCCATGTTTGTGTTAGCAGATGTTTTTATCTCAGAAATAAGGGGATAAAGTGAATTTACTAACAGCAGGACATGTCGGATGTGTTGAATTATGGGAGATGTTTGAGCTAAAACACACAGACCACTGTTTGACTATACAATCAGAGGCTCAGATTCTGTATTTTGAGGCACGTTCACGTATGTTTCATCCTGTAGAAAAAGAAACCCAAATCAGATCAGTTGTCTCTCCTAGACGGCATTGAGATTCAATGGAGAGCAAGTGTAGTCAACATTAAATTTTGTTCGTATGGGTCGAATCCTGACTGAGACTGTCCTTTCCTGTCTGTTCCGAACACGCCTGGTCTTTTTTTAGAACAAAAAGCTTTTAAAATGAAATGTGGGTCAGGGTTAAACGGAGATCAGGTGAGGACGGACTGTAAATGTGCTAGTCAAGGTTCACCTCTACAAAATCCCGTCCCAGAGGGACATTTAATCGCGCAGAGGTCTTTCATCACTCAGGAGACGTAGGTTAGGCTTCATCTCGAATGTGTTTCTCCTCAGTGTTGACCACCATTCCTGCGCTGGCGGTGGTCCCTCAGCAAGCCGTGGTGCAGTCTAAACCCTCTCCGTCAGGGCCGATCATGAACGGGCTGGAGACGGCCGAGCAGCGCACGTGGCTTTACCTGGAGGAGATGGCCAATACGCTGCTCAACAACGTCCAGCAACTCAAAGTCCTCATCGCACAGGCCAAACATGCCAGTCAGAGCGGAGCGCATGGCGCCATCAGCCCAGAGAAAAACAGTAGCATCAGAAAAGAGGTGACAGAAATACTTTATTCAAACAATTACAACCACAAAACTGGTCTCGGGTCAGTGTTGGGGAAAGTTACTTTTAAAAGTAATGCATTACAATATTGCATTACGCCCTAAAAAAGTAACTAATTGCATTAGTTACTTTTTATAGAAAGTAATGCATTACGTTACTTTTGTGTTACCTTTTCTCATCTGGGCTGGGCTTGTTTGTTTGCTTTTAAAAATAAAAAAATTTAATTTTTGGCAAATGTAAAAGCTCTTTCACATCAAAAGTCAAATGAATAAGCCTCAGCCATTTTGAATTGCATGAAGCATAGGACGCAGGAGAAGAAGAAAAGAAACACAAATGTCATGTTTATCTAAAGTCATTTTTCGCTTATTAATATGGTTGAATTGGATCATCGAAAGTCAGCAGCAAAGATATTGGTTAATAAAATGTGATTAAATACATAAAGGATATTTATGTTATTTAACATATTTAGTCAGTCAATAAATGAGAAAACAAAATAACTTGCATTACTTATTCGAAAAAGAAAACTCAGATATTTTCTTGTAAATGAAAAAGTAATGAGTTACTTGGAAAAAGTAATCTGATTACGTAACTCGCGTTACTTGTAGTGCGTTACACCCAACACTGCCTGTGGTGAAAATTGTTTTTAATGTTGTTTATCTGGTGTTTTTAATATGCTTAAAGACAAACCAATTAAAGATTAATTACATTTTGCCACTATCCATTATGTAGCATTTACTACTTCAGTTAACCGAGTGAAAGTGGTGGAATTAGTTGAGATGTTGTGATTGAGTGGAGGGGACTAATTTGCATATTCATAGTTGCATATACTAAATGAGGTGTAGAGTTATATTTAGGCCATTTTAAAGCATGAAGAAATTATTTTCACAAAAAAAAAAAAAAGAAAACATTTAAATATGTCATTTTGATTATCAAAGTTGAGTTTTAAGGCATAAAATAGTGCACGGGGACTTTATTTGCATGGGCAATTTTGTGAAATAAAAGATTTTAATAATCTCAAAACTTCCCTACATTAAAAAGAGCATTTATTAAAACTAACCTGCAAAAACTGGCTATTTATGATTGTGATGGCATAACCATAAATGCATATGGAAATCGGTTGGCTGTTTATATATACACATGCAGTAGTAAAATGGCCTCAAAAGTGTGAAAAATGATCATAAGAACTAAATTAGTGTTATGACTGTTTCTGGTCTAAGAAACCTTTACAGATATTAAGTTAATGTGCTAATGTTATGTTTAACAGAAAAAAAGTCATTTAAGTCAAAGGATATTAAATACAAATTCACAAAATAAACTGTCTAAATATATTTTCCTGTTCTTATTATGAATGATTCATCAGTACATAATAGTTAAATGAAAAAAAAAGTTTGTTTTGTATTTGTTCAACAAAATATTCCAAATCTGAAACAACTTTCCTTCCTGCTGATGTCATCAAGGCCGCTTAAGTTTCAACCAATTTGTGATGTTTCAGTATATGGAGTCGTCCACAGTAACTGAATGCAAAAACTAAATGATGATTGTTTTGGGTCTAAGAAACCTTTACAGACATTATAAGTGGACCAGAGGGGAGAAGTTTGTTTTATGACCCCTATAAGAAGCATCATATATTCATGTTTCTCTCTCTCAGTCCTTTCAGAGTCAGTTGTCACTCAGTGAAGAACCTGAGGGGAAAATCACTGAAATTATCATCAAGGTAAATCTCTCTCTCACTCTCTCTGTTATCATATCAGTGTTATTTTGTTATCATTAATATACTATTATACTTTTTATTAATATTTTGAATTTGACTTTATTTATATATATATATATATATATATATACACATTTATTTCTGTTTATAATTATTTTGTTGTGTGTTTTGGTCATTTTCTATTACCTTTTTAAATGTCTATATTAAGTTTTAGTTATTTTAGTACTTATTATTAAAGTATTAAAACTTTTTATTACTTATTAAAGTATTAACTTTAGCTAAATAAATAAGGAGAAATGTTGCCTTGATAACTAGCTTGTCTTTATTTATATTTTATTTCAGTTCATGTTTATTTCAAGTAACAATTTTTTTTATGGTTTTAGTTTTATAATAACCCTGGCTAAGGTTTGCTCTACATTTTCTTGTGTTGTTCAATTTCTGTTTGTCAGTTTTTCAGATGGTTTATTGCATTTACGGAGTAATATAATTAAAAATAATATTAGTGTTACTAAGTAATATTAGTTTAACCGTGGGTTGTTTATACTTGCCAAACAGCCTTAGCAACAGATATGCAAGTAGATTGAATATTTCTCCACAGTACTGAACGTGGCTCATCAGACTTAATGGAGCAGAGCTCTGAGTTTTATAATGTGGCTCGTGTGGGGATCTGCTGATGTAGTTGGCGTTCTCAGATGTGTGTGTGGCGATCGGGCCGGACTCCAGCGGTGTAGAAACACTGACCGTCACACATTATCACCCGCTGTGTTTGGCAGGTGCTTCGCTTCAGATGTGACAGAGAGACATGAAGCAGGACTATCAGAATCTGCAGCTGAAAACACACAGATGCTCCACGGGAAAACGCCAATAGATCCCAGAGTCTTTGCTTGTTTAAAATGCTAGTCTGTGTTGAGGCCAAAATGAACATTCTGGCATTATTTACTCACCCATGTATTGTTCTATACATGTATCTTGTTATTTCTCTATTGAACACTAAAGAGAATATTTTGCAGAATGTCCAGGCTGCTCTTCATTCACTTGGGAGGAGATATGTGCTTTGATATTCACACTGTTTTTACTCATATTCACAATGTCTTTGACAACATAAATTTGTATATTAATAGTTGTCACAACATTTTAGGTCTTAAAGGGGTCATATGATAAAATTTCATTTTTTCCTTTCTCTTTGGAGTGTTACAAGCTCTTGGTGCATAAAGAAGATCACAAAATAATGTTCTTTTTAGCAGCATCATATGACCCCTTTAAAATGATTCATTCATTTTATAATAATTGTAATATTATGAAATAGTAGTTATTCATTTATATATATATAAATTCAGCTTTGCATCACAGAAATAAATTATATTTTAAAGTATATTAAAATAGAAACCATTATTTTATATTGTAATAACATTTTGCAAGATTACAGTTTTTTTTTTCTGTATTTTTGATCAAATAAATGCAGACTTGATGAGCATAAGAGACTTCTTTAAAAAACATTACAAGTCTTACTGATCCCAAACTTTTGAGCGGTAGTGTACATACTTAGATAAAACTATTCTCTTAATAGTATTAATAGTGACACTAGTATGTTTCTTCTGTGTTCCAGCACACGTGTGTGAACTGCGGTCGAGAGGCGTCCAGTGAGTGTGCGGGCTGCCATAAAGTCCATTACTGCTCTGGCTTCTGTCAGCGAAAAGTAAGTCCAGTCCTAGCAATCACCATCATATCACAGCGGTTAGAGCCTCTTTATTTTTGGATCCATGTTTCTGCAGGACTGGAAGGAGCATCAGCTGAGCTGCTGTCCACCGGGCACGACTGTCAGCATTCAGGAATACGCTCAAATGGCCGGTGTGGAGGTGGAGAAAGGGAAGGCCTAGCGCTCTCACCGCAAGACCGTGACGTATGAAGTCTAGATGGGTGATCACTTCTGTTCATGTGTTTTAGTTCAGCTCTAAAGCCTCGTGGTAGCAGCCCCCTTACACACTGTGACATGAATGACGTCTGTACTTTCTGTACCATTTGAGCGGTTTCACCATCTCACTATGGATTTTGTACGTGAAGATAATCCTTAAAGTGGTAGCTCACCAAAAATCATTTACTCACCCTTATGTTTTTCGAAGTCTTTTTGAACACAATATGTTGTGTCCAAGCTCACAATTTCCTTAAAATGAAGACATAAAATTAACAGTTTTTAAGCTCCTAAAAGGAAAAATAAAAACGCTAAAGTAATCCACGTGGCCTGAAATTTAAGATAATCAAATTGTAGCTCTCAAATCTATGAAAGCTTGTTTCCGCCACAAGAAAAATTAAATAAAATGGGTAATTGCGATTTGTTTTTTTTGTTTTTTTTTTTTGTCTCGCAATTCTGACTCTTTTTCTTGCAATTCTGAGTTTATATCTCACAATTCTGACTTTTCTCTCGCAGTTCTGAGGAGAAATTCAGAATGTGACATAAACTTGCAATTGAGAGAAAAAAAATCTAAATAGTGAGATAAAAAGTTGCAATTACCTGTTTTTAACCATGACGGGGGGAAAAAAACTACTTGCGAGATGTGAAGTCAGAATTGTGAGAGAAAAGGTCAACAGAAAAGGTCAAAAGGACAACAGAATTGTGCAATTCTGACTTTTTTTCTCATAATTCTAACTTTTTTCTTCAAATTATGAATTTTTTATCTCACAATTGTTTTTGTTTTTAAGAATTGTGAGATATAAACTCAGAATTGCAAGAAAAAAGTCAGAAATGTGAGATTAAAAGTCGCAATTTTTTTTTTATTACATGACGAAAACAAAAAACTGAACTGTGAGATGTGAAGTCAGAATTGTGAGAAAAAAAGTCAGAATTCAGAGTTTATATCTCACAATTCTGATTTTTTTTCTCAGAATTGTGAGTTTCTAAAAAAATGTCGGAATCTGAGATAAAAAGTCACAATGACCTTTTTTTTTTTCTTTTTTTTTTTACCCACAATGGAAACCAGCTTCCATATAAATCTCATTCATGCATACTAATTTTTTTTTTTTTTGTAATTTTCACATTAAAATGTGTTGTTTTGTGCAAATATTATAAATTGAAATCATAGTGTGGAAAACTATTATGATACTTTTATTGTTTTTTGTTTTTTTTGTTTTGAGCTAGTCAAAGAGCAGCTCAAAACTTATTATTTTGTGTCCTACAGGCAAAAGTCAGTCAAACAGGTCTGGAACACCATGAAGTTGAGTAAATGATGACAGAAGTGTTTTTTTTTAGGTGAATTACTCCTTTAATTGGACAATAATATATTTTCAGAAACTAATTCTAATGAAGGATTAAATTTTTACAATGTTTTCAAAACAAAACAAAAATAAATGGGAAGCTTTGAGTTTTTTCATGCCTCTTTATTCAATGGATTTTGGATTTGAGGCCACACACACAAAAGTGTGTTATCATGATATCCTTTTTTTAATGGATTTGACACATTGTAGAGATTAGCTGAGCTTTTCTCGGTGAACCACCACACAGCTGACCCATGCGAAATAATCCCGACCTAAAGTTACGCAAATGCTACCGTGCTAACTCACAATAGTCAAAGGACAGAAACCTCACCAGATTTCACATTCAAATTCCCTGTTGTTCACCTAAGTCACATTGTACACTTTCTGCATAATCCACTTATTAGTCAAGGGTTTTTGTACTCGATCATAATATAACTTTTCATGACCGCTTTCCACTCTATTTCTGAACAAGCCATTTTGCTAATGTAGCTGAATGACCTCTATATGTAAATGAGCTTTGCATGTGAAACGAGTATTTATAGGCCAACATCAGCCTCTAAAACAAAACTGCTTTACATTGTGACATTCATCAACCAGTCAGCAAACAATACGATTAGACATCTTGTTCAAAATAAACTGTAGTCACTCTAATCAGCGACAATATGTATCCTTCTTCCTTTTTATTAGCTCACTGTGATTGGGTTACTAAGAAATGCACTGTAGGTGGTCATGTGTTAATATTGTAATCTAGTCCAGCTGCTAGACTATTTTTGTAGCTCATTTTCAATAAATGCCCCTTTTTCACTATAGGGAGGATGTTTTGAGTTCTGAAAGTTACAGTGAGTTTTCCTACTGCAATGAACTTTCACTTCCTTCGACTGACGTCTTATAATGCGACCCATTTAAGATGTCTGATTCTGAGCTGTGGTGCTGAAAGTGTTCAGACGCTTTATTACTTGTGCCATTTTTGAGTGAGTTTCTTTAGAGGTTCCTAGCTCAATTTTGGAGGATATCTGGAATACAATCAGATTTCCCACGAGCAACCTTGGCTGATAGTTTGCCGCAGGACGGTGTTTTTATGACCTCCCTTTCGTACCTCAGTGTCTAAATGTGAATCGATACACTGGGATAGAAAATTGTTGGGGGAATTATGGGAAGGGCACTGGACGGCTTTAGCCAAAGCCAAAGAGCCAGTCAGTGATGCCAGAATCATCTAAAGAGACACGTCTGGACCGAATGGCAGTGGTTTTCCATTACGCAGGTCAGTGAAGCAACAGATACTATACAGAACAAATGTGACCCTGGACCACAAAACCAGTCATAAGGGTCAATTTTTCGAAATTTAGATTTATACATCATCTGAAAGCTGAATAAATAAGCTTTCCATTGATGTATGGTTTGTTAGGATAGGACAATATTTGGCCGAGATTAGGGCTGCACGACAAAAAATCGCGCAAATATGAACGTGGTTTTGCGCAGCTCGTCAGTGAACAACGGCTCTGTGGAGTTAATGCTGCTCAATGTGAAAGCACGCAGGTGATGGAGATTTACCGCTGATTACAGAACCGGCTTTACTGATAAGATGCGCGTTAAATATCGCATGCGATTTATCGTGCAGCCCTAGCCGAGATACAGCTATTTTAAAACCTGGATTCTGAGGGTGCAAAGAAATCAAAATAATGAGAAAATTGCCTTTAAAGTTGTCCAGATGACGTTCTTAGCAATGCATATTACAAATCAAAAATTAAGTTTTGATATATTTATGGTAGGAAATTTACAAAATATCTTCATGGAACATGATCTTTACTTAATGTCCTAATGATTTTTGGCATAAAAGAAAAATCAATAATTTTGACACATACAATGTATTTTTGGCTATTGCTACAAATATACCCCAGCGACTTAAGACTGGTTTTGTGCTCCAGGGTCACATATATGACAGTGGCTTTTACTGTTGTTTGAAAACTGATACTGTATATAGCACCATTCTGAGAGTATATATATGTGTGTGTGTGTACCTTATTGCTTGAAAGAAGGTGAAAATACAATACTGCAATCATAAACATTCCTATTCACATGGAATTTGAATTTTCGTGTCAACTGAAACAGCAGGTAATTTTTAGTGAGGTTTTGGGACATTTGGACAGCATTTTAGCTGACATCTTTAGGGAATTGTCTGAAAAGGGTTTAAAGTTCTGGCAAGGTTCTCTAAAGTTCTGAATATTCTTCCAGTAATGTTAACACAACATTCATTCAAAGGGATCAGGTCTTTAATAACACTGTCAAAACGTTAGCACAAAAACATCTGAAATGTTTTAGTTGAATGTTCATTGGATAACTTTTTAAAGAACATTCGGAAATAATGTTTTCAGAACTTAACGAGAGCATTGGCAAAATCTTTTTAGGACATAGCTGTGAGGTCTCTGACCTTCTGACTTGCAATTTTCTGTAAGATTGAGGCCTGATTTAAAAAAACAAAAATTTTTAGGCTGCCATTGCCCTAAAAGTTTACTATTGTATTGTAACCAGTTAATCACTGTAATAACAGTAATAATTCCGCTTCTGTGGTCATGGACAAACGCTGTCAGTAGAGTTCTCCACGGTTGTCTTGTCAAATCTTCCTCCTTTCACTCACTCTCTGTCTTTCTTTCCATCTGTCTCTCATCATTTCTTGATATGTGTTCTCATATCAATGTCAGATCTGTTATATTGCTCTCTTAAAAACCTGGAGTCCAAAAATACCCTCGTGAGAAATTATGTTCATCTAGGACGAACTGAACAATAAGGGCCTTGCAGGAGTTACTTCAATCGTCTCTGAAAGTCTTTAAAATCGCGTATTCTGGACTGGAGCAGAAGCGAAAATCTGTTATCATTTACTTAATTTTTGCAGTTTTTTAGATTCCGAATAAACGGACATTTAATTTTAGTCTAAAATAAGATAATATTCACAATAAAAGCTAAAAGCTTTTAAATAAAAGATAAAAGCATATTCACAATCACAACATATGATTAGCACGTAACTTTCACTTTTTCAAGTTAATGTGAGTATTCTCTGTATTTTTGTTCACTTGTTGTAGTATTACATTTATATTGTGTAGAAATATTAATAATCTCATATGTGTAGGATGCATTCGTGGCTGATGAAAGTCAGATTTGGAACGACATGAAGGTGAGTAAATGATTTTTGCGTGAACTAGATGCTCCTTCACTTTTATCTCATTGTAGGTAAACTAGAAAACCCACCCTTTTGTGTGTGTATCTATATTTTCCACCTAATCTATTTTCTATTCATACACCTCAGCGGGAGAGCTCGGAAAAACGGGGGTTATTCTTGAAAGATGAGTTGCCGTCAAAGTGGTTCCTGCCGGGACCTGTTGAGATCTGACATTTACACTAAAAGCTTTTTCTTTTTTTCTGACATTTCCATGTTAGTAATGGTAACGAGGGCTGTATTAGGGGTTCTGCTGAGAAGATGCTGCTGCTTTTTTCCTTGAAAGGTGATTCTGGTGTGTGAAGTTTATTTTTGGAAAGCTGTGGTGACCCTGGAGTGGAACTTATGAGAGGAAGGCCATTCATTCTTCAAGAAAACAGGTAATTTAACCTTTTCATAGAACAAACCTTCAGTAATTTTGAAAGCGTTTAGACTTAAGATTTGCATCAAATGAAGAATCTCATAGTGGATTGTGGGTGTGGCTCTTTTGAGCTAAGCCAGTAAGCAATCACCTAAAACACCCTAGAAACAAACAACCACTCAGAACACCTTAGTAACCGCATAGCAACGGTCTGGCAACCACCCAGAACACCCTAGAAACTGCATAGCAACACACACTTAGAACACATAATTAACTGGATAGCAACACAAAAACCTCTTAGAACACCTAATTAACTGCATAGTAACGCCCAGGCAACCACCTAGAACACCTCAGAAACTGTATAGCAACACAAGCAACCACTTAGAACACTGCAGTAACTGCATAGCAACACAAACAACAACTCGGAACACATAAGTAACTGCATAGTAATGGTTTAGCAACAATCCAGGGGCCGGTTGCATAAACGGTTTAGACTAGTC